CTGGTTCGAGCTCGCCTGTCAAGGTTCGAGCTCGCCTGCATGGTGGAGGCCAGCCGTAGACAAGCTGGCGAGGAACTCGCCTGATTTGGTTAGAGCCAGCTGGGGCTAGCTGGCCTGGAGATCGCCTGAAGACCTAGGGTTTCCCTATAAAAGGGAAACCCTGTTCACAAGCAGAAGGTGAGCGGCAACCGCAGAGCGGAGCAGAGTGAGAGGCGACGAAGTTGAGCAGAGAGAGAGAGAGAGCTCCTTTCATCGTCTCCCCTATTTGGTTTTGAGCTCCGTTCCCTCTCCAATTTGTGAACACAAATTGTTCCTGTTCTCATTAAATTAGAGGATAAGGGGTTGGTGTTGAATTGGGGTTTCTTTGGGGTAATTAAGAGAGAGTATTTTGAGCGATGATTTTAGATTAAAATCACATGCTATTTGTTGAGAGATCTCAAGTTTGAGATACTCTCTCTTATTTGTAATTTCTTGTGATTAATAAGAAATTAATTGTGCCGCTCCCGTGAACATAGGCAAAATTACCGAACCACGTAAAAATTGGTTGTTTGTGTTTGTACCATTATTGTGATTGTGTTAGTCCTTCTCTCTCAGCATTTGTATTTGTTCCCGGGCATAAATCCCAACAAGTGGTATCAGAGTACAACACTACCAACAAATCCTAACTAAGGATATTTTCAGTGAAGTTATCACAGTGCTAAACTATAACCAAGAATAAAATATGTGGTTCTAAATGACAGGTGCTTTGCTTCCATTACAACTGCACATATTGCCAATTCTTAAATGTACTTTGGGCTTAATGAGCTAAGAAAGCATATGAAAATATACAATGCATACACACACACACATATTGTTTTTTTTTGGTGGGGAGTGGGGGGGTACATTAACAAAAAAACATTGTAAATATCGATAAGCTATAATCATATTACAGCGAAAGGGTAAATTCTGAGGGGATTATATGAAAGAGGCTCTACAAGTAGGGGAGGAAATAAACCAAACAATTAATAAATAGTTCGATAATTGTTCGAGTAAATATTCAGTCATATTCGATTTGGTAGTTCATGTAACACTAAACAAATGTTTTTTAGTATTCAAGTTTACTAACTAATAGAATTTAACCATATGTATATTCAATTCTTTTGCCTATCAAATATTCGTTTAAAATTTGATCACCTATTATTTGTATTATTGCACATATGATGTCATATTTTTAACGCACTTATCATTTCTATTTAAGTTTTATGCACTGATTTTAAGACTTAAATAATCTTAAATCTGTTTCTAATGAAAATTTTGATTTAAATATTTACACATCAATACATCATATATCATAAAGGAATAATTTTCATTTATGAATTTAAATACCATTTGAAAATCAAGTTTCTTTAGCAAAAAAATATGCTTTGATATTCGATAAATATTCATGAATATCGATAAATATTCGTGAATATTCATGAATATTTATTAAATACCAAGTATTCGAGTTCAAATTGGGAAAAATCCAGATACGAATATTAGAGTTCGCATTTGAATTCGATGAATTTAAACAAATACAAATAAGAACACCTTAGTATTCGATTTGATTCGATCGTTTACCACCCCTATGTACGAGTATGGGTCTGCTCTTCCACATCATTTTATAAAAGACATCTGGTTGGCCTATAGGACATCCAAGCACACAATTATACCTCTTACCATTAATCCAGACCTCTACTTTGGCTCTCTCTGAATAAACCCCTCACTATTTGCATTACTCATTAATCTCCTCAAAAACCAAGAACATACATAGACTACAATGTTTGTCTTGTTCTTTGTTCTCCTTTCCATGGCCAGTCATTCTTATGTAAATTGAATCAGATCTAGGTCGTCTGAACAAATAGGATATGAAACTAATTAAACAATAAACGTAGAACCCCAAACTCATGTTTATCCTCCTAATACAATACTCAGTAGCTACTTGTTTTCCCCCTGTGATATTATCACACTGCTGCCACTAGAAAAGGGTGCGGAAAAGATGAAAAGTGCAGAAATAAAATTGCAGTAAAAGGAAAACTAACTTTCCCTTTAATTTCTGTTAATAGAGCTCTTCTAGATGCATTCACATCAGGATTCTGTCAAGCTTAAAATGTAATTCCTGGTCACATAAATCTTTTATATAGACCTTTTCTGAGGTTTTGGTCCAACGACTCGAAAATATATCCTCTTGAGTGTTAAGGAAAGAAGTGCATACACTAACTAAACAGGCATGTAATTTTATTTTTTTCCCTAAATGTTATTTAGCTTAGCATTGAAATAATACTATGTGCATCTCGCGGCAAAGCAAAGCTAAAGTATTGAACATGCAATATGTATATATGTATCTACTTAATAAATGTGAAAATATTTTTAAGTTTGTCAAGTTACGTGCATTGAGTTCAAGACACTTCAAACTTTTTTTTTTTGACATGCCACAAACTCTGAGATTTGAAAACTGACGGATGCTATTTAGGTACCCCAACGACACTCCAAGCAATAGGACTATGAGACAATCAGCTTACTTTATGCAAGCAAAATATTGTTTGGTATGAAAAGGTTAAGATGGTTCCGTTTTCCCTTAATAAATATGATGGCACCCTTACCGAACTTCAAGAGAACTACAATTATCCTGAAATGAATTAAAATAGAGTGCAGATGTAGCAAATATGGACGATTAACAGGTTATAGCATGCAGACGATTCAAGACGAATAGTTTAACTACAATTAATATGTATTTGCTCTAAACTCTTAAAGCATATCATGACAAATTTTGCTTGATTAGGAAAAAAAATCAAAGAACTGACCTTAGAATCGAGCTAGGGTTTAGGAAATCGACAGCGAGCGGAGCTGAGGAACAGAGGTTTAGAGAAAGAGAGCGGTGGTCGCGATTAAAATAGAGTGCAGATGTAGCAAATATGGACGATTAACAGGTTATAGCATGCAGACGATTCAAGACCAAAGTTTGTTGGTGAAAACTCCATTGGCAGACATCCAAACTAAAATACATACCACTTGAACTTTGTAGGTATCTTACCCAAAAAGCGAGTGGAAAAAAGGAAAGTGTTTAATGACAAGTTTTAAAGAACTAATAGTTTAACTACAATTAATAACCTAGATTATGTCTTTGCTCTAAACTCTTAAAGCATATCATGAAAAATTCTGCTTGATTAGGAAAAATACCATACCAATAGCAGATTTCTTGTGTGCATTGAGGGTTTTGTAACAGAAATACCCCAAAACAGTGATTTTAGTTTTTTTTAACCATTCCACTGTGGGAAATCACAATCCACAGCATAAATATTTTAAGCAACATGTCCTGAGTGATAGTTTGATACATTATAGTTAAAATCCTATCAAAAGCACCTGAACCCAACAGTACTTACTGCAGATGTCTACTAATAAACACCAACAAATGCTGCCGAACAACAAAATGGTGCATATGTAGACAAAGTTTTTTCATTCTCATAACTTATCACATAACATTCAGCAAAGCACAAGTATTAACCTGGCAAGTCTTTCTCCAGTATTTGCCAGTCTTGCTGAATTTTCTTCATTGCAGTGTTTGATGGCTGTTATCTTAAAACATTAGGAAAACTGGAAAAGGCATAACAAATCAAAAGAACATAATAAGTTAAAATGAATTAATCATCTGTTTACCTTTGGAACTTCTTTGTAATTCATGGAAAAATGATGATCGGAGAAGTCAGTGACAACATCAAATTGTTTAAATGGTATACACCTTTTGTCCATAAGATCATTGGAACCTCCATCCTGCAATGATAACAATAACAATGTACTGCAAGAGTTAACAACTCTTTGTGAACTATATTAAACACCATCACAGAACTATAACTGATTTTGAAAGCCTCACATGTCATTCCAACTCACCAAAAATTAAGTTCCCAAGGACACCAACTTACGTGTCAAAGTCTCTTCCACTACACCAAAACTCCAAATTTGTGATGAGGGTCGAGTGTTATAATTTTACATTCTAATATGTCCATGAAGATTGGATGCTCTTTTTATGGGCTGAAACATGGACTCACATAACAGTATTTTCTTAAAATGTTCTTTTAACTTCATGGTTGCACCAATACTGCTCATATTATCATATCAAAGGTCCCCCTCACTGCCTCAAAACTCTGATAAATTTTATAAATCCAACTCACCAAAAATTGAATTTTGAAGGTTAGTAACTAAAATCCGCCCCTAACTCACAAGATACGAAAGATTGAGTAACACCACCAGAAACCCACAAGAAATATTGATAATTATATCCAAAAAACAAGGAAATCCTGAGCATTCTAAAGGTGGGTGGCAAAGATGCAAAAACATAAGTAAATAAATAAAAGCAGAGAAGAGAGAGAATACTTACATTGTGCTGCCTCTTAGATAGATAAATAAAAGCAGAGAAGAGAGAGAATACTTACATTGTGCTGCCTCTTAGATTGGTTCGATTTTGACGACGAGCTTCCACAGGAGTGATGATGACTGCAGAATTAAAGTAAATAAATAAAACAAGCAGAAATAATCAAAGAGAACAAAAAGGTTGTCAATTTTCTTAGTCTTTTTTTCCTGACATAAGATTAGCTCACTTTGGATTCACGTCCATGGATCCAGCAATGTAGGTTTCAGCGGCTAGGGTTTTGGGGATTGGAAATTGGGGAAGAAGATGCGATCATGCGAAAGAGGAGGCAGCCTTGAGATAGGGAGAGAGAGAGAGAGAGAATAAGTTGCCAAACTTTGAAAGAGTCCAAAATTCTCTCTCTTCCCTTTATATATATATATATATATATATGTATAAAGCTTACCACCTATGTGCACAAGAGTAGGCTTTTTGGTGAGGCCCCTCTCGTTTATTTGCTTTTAATTTCAATTGGGTTATTAGTTATTTATGTCAATATATTAGGATACTTTTCTCTTTGTTCATATGAAAAATTAATTTTTTTTTGTTATGTGATAGTGGTCCTCAACGAAGTAAATCATTTCATATCATATATTTATATATCATATCGTATCATATCATATCATATCATATCATATCATACTATCTTTAAAAGTGGGGGTTCTTGAAAAACTTTCATTGGTCAATTTTACCCCTAATCTTTTTCAATATTAACATTCTTATCCTAATTATAATTGGTTATCAACTAAAGCTACTAAATTAAAATTAAACTCCTGAATTAACGCTTTCTCCATTCAAACTAATCAATAAAAATTTGATCTAATTAGAATTGGTTGACAACTAAAGAGTATAAAGAAGCTTAAACTCCCGAATTAAACCTCCCTCCATTCAAAACCAATTAATAAAAAATTAATCTAATTATAATTAGTAAACAACTAAAGAGTAGAAAGAAGCTTAGAGCATATTAGCATTGTAAACATAATATGCATTGCACGTGTAAATATTAACCAATTGATTGATACCAAATTATGGAATTAATTAATTATCAACAAAAAATAATTAATTAAAGTATTTTTGTAGTAGTCCCTTAAACCTTTCATATTTTGATATTAGTCCGTCAAAGCATTGAAATTATTATTAGGTAACTCAATTATTAAGTTATTTGAAATTAGCAATTCAAATCAATGGTATAATTGGCAATTTGAGGGACTAATTTCCCGCTAATTTCTTTTTTTACTCTTGATTGGAGAAGCTGATATCAAAATAACTTTTGCGGATGTAATAGCTATTTCAATGATTTGATGAATTAGTTTTAAAATAATAAGAAATTGAGCAACCTAATAGTTCAATGTAGTTATCTTTGCAAACTTATGGAGATGTTTTCTTAAATGATGATAGATTTGCAAACATATATATATATATATATATCTGTTTACACATGAGTTACACACTTCTTATCACTAAGAGGTATATGTGTATATATCATATCACATGGCACAAATATAGTATGCAAATCATAAAAGATCAGTTACAAATTAAAGAAATGTTATGCTTAGCAAATGGATCATCCAGAAACTACAGCAATTAAAATAAAGTAATAAAATAGTTTTCTGAACAGTATGAAACAGTGCCTGAATTTTATGAACAGTGACCCCTTTTTTTTGCAGCAATTAACTAATAGAATTAATTACTAGTTACGCCAACAAATAAGTATTTGACTTTTTTTTTCCAATAATCTAGAATATTGAGGACCCGTCTATCGCTCTGGCACAGATGATCCCCTCTCCTCTAGCGGTAAAAACCCCCGGCCTCTGTACTCGGGCGAGAGTACAGAGCTTCTGCTCAGATGAAGAAAGTTGCCAAAAAATAAAACCAATACTACGAAGAAATAATATGAAGAGGAGAGAAGAGACTTGTTCTTTTCCTTATCAAAACCAAGCTCAACATACGACTATATATATATATGGTGTTGGAAAGAGACGTTACAAAACCCGCAATTAATACGGTAATGTTCGTCATAAATTTTGTAACGTTCCCCATAATTATATAGCCATTACACATATTTTTAATTGCTAAGTAAAACATGTTTTAATTACAAAAATTTATTACTATTCATGAAGGCAAAATTGTCTTTCTTAACAAAATATCTAACATGAGTATGGATGACTTCTTGGATAAGCCCTGGAAACCGCTGACAAGAAAAGTTCCGGTGCCACCGGGGATTCTCAGCCCTTACAGGTACATGAACTTAGATACGAAATAAATACAAGAAGATCGGACTAGGTAGAAACAGAAGAATAAAATAAAAGAGTAATGTAACAACTTTAATTATTAAGGGTTAACCGTTAATTGCAAACACCCTGCATCATCCAATTTCAAAGCGGCCCACCGTACTTCTATTTATTGTTGTGAATATATCCCCTATAATTCTATTTGTTGAGAACACACCCTCTTACTATCGAGCCATGTGTAAATACATCCCCTAGTGAACTTCTTCAACCCTTTTGAAAGTAAAGTAAAGTTAAAAAGAAGAGCAACTGTGCATCTATCCTAACCGATCGAACTTTACAGGGTCTAAATGCCTCCTCAATTTTTAACAATTTTAAGAGTAGAAAGAGAAATTCACTCAGTGGGCCCATTTGCAACAAATAGAACTATAAATATCTACTCTCAACAAATAGAACTATAGAGGTCTCTGCCACTTAGGTAATCCCTTTCTAGTTAGGTGATACTAGAGGTTCTATTCTAGTGAAAGACAATGGTGTCATACTAAAAAAATGATGATATATAATACAATAAGACGACGATTATGAAATGTGTTCGTCCTTAGTGATTCTTATTTTTCTTGTTTAAGGAAGAAAAATCAGAATCATTTCAAAAATAATTAGTCGATTACGAGCGACGTCATAAACTGCCTACCAATAAGAGTATAATTGACAATCTCTCTGCCACTTATTCCGATGCTTAGAACAATAACCAAGACTCATTTCCCAGTTACATGTTTTCCAAGTTTCTTTTTTAAGTCCAATAAATTTTTTAACAGGCGTAGGATATATAATATCTGGATTTGGTCCAACTCAAAGAAAAATTATCCAGGGGTTGACATTATCATAGTAAAAAAGAAAAAAGAAATGATCCTAATTCTTTTGCTGAACCTGCGCAGGATTCTAATTTTTATACGGTTGGTAGTCCTGGGCTGTTTCCTAACTTGGGGAATTTGCAACCCAAACTGATGGGCGATCTGATCTCCCTGGCATGGACGTCTTCATCTCCACAGCTGATGTAGAGAAAGAGCCGCCACTAACTATCGCGAATTAACTGTTTCTAAAAGAGCAATAAAAGGCAGCTTATAATCATGAATTAACTGCTTCACCATCGTGTGCTTAGAGGACTTATTGAGTCCCCTAACATTCCATACAGCCAAATGCATTAATAGTGAAGTCCACCTCTATCAATACTAGAGGGGTCCAAATCTGAATTTTGTATATCCAATAGGGAGAATTGAGAAGGTTGAGTATATGAAGTCCCAGTCACCTTTTGAAATGCCCTTCTGGATAATCTACTAGCACTTGTAAAACCAGAGGCATTAATAGAGGGGCTCTGTGCATGTTTTTGGCCAAAAATGTTATTTTGTACTTGCATATCTGAAGATTGTGCAATATGTATAGGACTTTGGTGAGAAACTTCTTGACCAGCAACAACTAAATTATCTAGGGCACCTGAACTGCTGGAGATATCTTGTGCATGTTTTCTGTACACAACACTTTGCATAGCAGCAGTAACATGCTTATTTGAGTGAGCCACAACATCTTGTGCATGATTTCCAAAATTTCCAGATATTCCTACTTGAGCAATATGTATTTACGAATCAATAGTTTGACCAGTAGTATGTGCAGCATTCATAGTCTAATTAACAAGTTGAGTAACTAAACCTGTTCCAGATTGCTTTCTGACAGGCACCCATTGTTTTCTAGTATTCTACCTTCTACATAATTCAGTCTCATGCCCAACAATATTACATATAGAACACCATCTAGGCTTAAGCTCATAAAGAACTTTTTTATTATAATGCTTGCCATCTGGATCCTGAATAGTGATAATATCAGGAAGGGGGTCTTTTAAAGGCAATTGCACCTCTAACAATACTCTAGCATAACTCAATCTTTGTCTAGTTGCAGTGAGTTTATCTGTGGTGATTGGTTTACCAATGAGGCTAGCAACTTTGCTAATTCCAGTAGAGCTCCAAAGATTAAGCCTTAGATTAGGAAGTTGAACCCATATTGGATAGCTATAATCTAAAATTTTCTTCAAATCAGTTTCAATAGTCCATGGTTTTAACATCAAGGGTCTAGAACCAAAGAACCATGGACCTGCTTCCAAAACACCTCTCATTTGATGATCTGTTTGGAAATCAAAAAGGAATAAGCCCTGTTTGATCAAAGAAATTTTCGGAATTGAAATTTTACCCCAATTCTTGTTAATATAAGCTTCCATGGACTTGAAATTTACATTCAAACCAATAACATGACCAATGAGTGCAAATTTCCATAGATCCTCCCCCTCTTTCCATTCTTCCTCAGAAAAAACAACCGCATTAGTTTGAGAAGATGGCAAAAAATTTAGAGGTAATCCGCATCCAGATTTCCTGTTGTCAGCAAAACGACTAACAAAGGTTTTCCTCATTTCAGAGTTTGTATTTTTGTCATTTATTGATTCACTCTTATCCAATTCCTTAGCAAACTCCTCCAAATCAATATTCTTATCAATATTCATTTGAAGATCAATCTGAGATTCAACATCGTCAGTTTCCAAAGATGTTGATTCTCTAATTAAACTAGATTCAACCTCATCGTCAATATCATCCGCCAATGGGAAAGATTAGAAGACTTACTTAGCTGCCGTTCAATCAAATCACCAGGAGCAACCAAAGGATCGAAAAGAGGATTAGATCTGGATAAAATCTCACTCATTAGCACCTTCTTCTTCGCTCCCTTTGGCCCTGTGCTTTCCATGATTCCAGCCGCTTCCATGGAGTTTACTGTTACATCAGGATCAAGATCAACACTAGACGACGCCCCGACGCTAACAGAGGTTGGGTAAACAAAGATAGAATCCCTCAGCTCATTATTCAGTATCCTATTGCTACTGCTCTTCTTCTTCTTTGCCATTGAAAATTTGGCGGAGGTGCACGTTAGCGAAGGAAAAATCGCCCGCTAAAATGCACCATTCAGAAGCCCGCCCCTTCTCTTATGCTTTTTAGACTTTACAAAGTCTAGAATCACAACTTTGCCTAGTAGGCATTGTATATATTTATCAAGTTATTTTATAATTAGTCCTTTATTTGACATT